TAGAAGCAGCGGGAGAAATAGGGATAATACTGAGACGCCTTTTATATATTATTTTCAAAAAATAGTTTAATTCATGATCTTCACAGACGCAAGTCATTTCCCCCCTCTTTTAAATGTGTAATGCACGCAGAAGCGTGTACTAGCTTAATTTGACCCTTTTAAGTTTTCTGCTGCAAATCATCAACAAAAGATAACAAGAAGCTTCCGAGATTTTAAAAAGGTTTTTTTTTTTTTTTTTTTTTTTTTTTTTTTTATTCAATAACTGAAATCTCTCAGATTTTTTTTGTTTTGTTTTTTTTTGTTTTTCAACTGCTGAATGAAACCAAGTTTGTGGATATCCTCTTGAACAAAAACGATTCTTCAAAATTTTAGACTGTTTCTCAAATTCCTCTTCTGACTCACAAATACGTCTCCGTCTATAGAGTTGGCTTAATGACTATCAGCAGATAGTAATGTTTTTTTTTTTTTTTTCTGTTGGTTTACAGGACACCGTGGTGGAGATATTGTTGATTTTTGAACGAATAGAGGATACATTATTCTCAACTGAAAATGTAATGGAATCTAATCTTGAATTTAAGAACTGTACAAAATCATATAATTACTACCACCTGTTAGTCTTCATTGGTCTTTATATAATCATTGAGTTACTGAACTTGTCGCACTGACGGAGGCAGCAAGCGAAACGTTTGTCATCTGTTTTTATATCTCCAGCTATAATAAAGAGAATTTTAGAGTGCAGACCTCGAGTAACGTTTGATATAAGAGACGGGTCTCTGCAACTATAAAAGCTGGGAGAGCACAGTGAGTGTTGTGATTGGACTTCTATAATCATGTAAAATGTAGAGTCAGATATTCTATTGGGAATTGCTTGAATGGATAATCAATATAGGCTGTTGTTTCATTAGATATATTTTGTACAGAAAATAAAATAAAAAAAACATGTTGTTTCTCTTGTAGATTCCAACTCCAATGGAATGAAATGTTACTCTTGTGTTGGGAAGAGCTGCTCAAACACTGTGAGCTGTTCAGGGAGTGAAGACCGCTGCATTACAGCAACAGGTGAGAATCTGCTAAAGAATGAAGATTAAAGTCATTTTTATTTCTGTTATGTTTGGGCGTTTGAAACCGATCCCATATACCAGTAAAGCTCAGACTAACCTTTCTTTTCTTTCGTTTCATCAGGCAGTTTCGGAGACCAGTCACTGGTTGTGAAAGGCTGTGTCTCTAAAGCCATTTGTAATGCCACAAAATCGGTTCCTAATGTTCAGGACATCTCATGTTGTTCGGGGAACCTGTGTAACGGTGCTCAGAGTGTCACTCAGAGCTTCCTGTTCCTCTGCTGTTCTCTGCTCTCCTTCATCCTGCTGCACTGAATCCAGCAGCTCTTCACATTCTACAGCAGCAGCAAAGACACAGTGTTGATGAACAAAAATACAGTTCATATTTTCTTTGGCGTTTTCATGTGATGAACTGAAAAGTATACAGGAAATCTTATGTAATTTTTTATGTTTTGGGTTCATATTTAAAGGTTCATCCTGTAAAAAGAAAGTGCAGTAATGTATTTTTTTTAAATTATCATGTTGAGAATAAACAATATGCTCATTATTTAATTATTCAAAAAAGGAAAAATTTCACCTCTTAAGTTTTACAGGAGACATTTCCAGTACCAGGATTTTCCTGTTCACACTTACTGAATAATAAAAGTTTTGTCACAAATACTTTTTCTATTATTTTGCTCAATACTATATATTTTATGTGTATAACTAGCATAAGAGGTATAAAGTGTAACTGTAATGCATCATTCTCGGGGTAATGATCCAGATTCCACGATTCGATTCTGATTCACAAGCTCTTTATATGATTCCATTCCAGGCATGTGCACACATAGACATAAAAGGGAGCTTGAGCACCTGCCCTTTTTCTTCCTCGAGAGAAAGTTTTTTTCTGGGGAGGTTTTTTTTTTTTTTTATAAATTATGTATATATGCATGTTTCTGTTTGCGCACAGATTTCCCTGTCAAGCAAATAAATAAAAATATCAGGTCGGGTCGGGAAATGTTGAGACTCTGTCTAGTTCCGATGCCTTTCTCCTTCCGCATCTCCGCGCAGCACAGCAGTGTAGCACTGTAGACTGTAGCACTCATTGATCGGCACATCTATTCCAATCTCGATGCACTTTGATTAGATATCTATCCATTTGGAAATATTTCAGGTACAGGTCAATTTTCTTGAGGAAATCGTCTCTTATGATGTAAAATATAGGCCTGCAGGGTGTGTTACTATCAAATTACTCTCAAACTATCTAGTTCAAATTTATTTTCAGATATAGGTCTAATAATCAATACTCAAGCAAACCAGATAGCTGTAGCTACACAAACATTTAAGAAAAATATAATGACATTTTTGGCTATGCACTCCACTAAGTATTTATTTATTTATTCTTATAAGGTAAATGTAACGTTCACACATGCACGCTGTTTTACTGACGTCTTTCCGAGATTGACACATGCCTGGGTGATTACACGAGAAATTATATATTTCAGTAAGTTTCACTGTATTTTTCAAACTTCTGATGAACATTTATGTTTATTTTGTGTTATATACTCGCAGTAAAAAGGGAGATACGAGAGTGACATCTAATAGACAAGAGTGGTATAATAGCAGGATTCGCGTTAATCCAGTGTGACGAGAGGGGCGGGGAATGGAGCGAGGCCGGTGGAGTAAATGCTAATGCGCGAGTCCCACGGAGGAGCTCCAGAAAGGATAAAAGGAGGAGTGACGAGAGAGGACCAGGCCTGGATTTTATTTTGTGTTTTGTGTGCGGCAGTCGTCCGTGAGGGGCTGCCGCTTTACTTTCATTTTGTGTTTGTTTATTTTATTAAAGTCTTTAAATGTTTGCCGGTTCCCACCTCCTTCTTCCCGATCTACAAACTTTGTTACATTGGTGACGAAACCCGGGAGGAAGGAGGGACACGCTGCCAGAGATCCCTCACCGCTGTGGTGAATCCGCGGTGCCATCGAGCATGACGGAGCAGTCTGCCGCCATGGAGGCTCGAGGCGGTGGGCTGGAGTGAGTTGCCGGGGGGGGTGGACGAACTCGCTGCCGGTGTCATGAGAAATCGAGTCCCCCCTCGAAATCGGATCCGCTTAGGACCAAGGCGGTAGCTGTTTTAAATGACTGATCAAAAGTCAACACTTATGTTACTATTTCGTTGTGAATATATGTATGGTAAGTGCAAATGCGTGGTGTATAAGCTAACCTAGCAGGCTAATCCGGTAGCTGTATGCTATGCTAGTAAATGAGCTAACCAAAAAATAAAAAAATTAAATAAAAACGAAATGTTTGATTTCACAACCTATAGCTTCGGATGCTAGTGTATGAAACATGTAATTTAAAAGACATTAATGGTCATTATAACGAAGTTCAAACAACATGAATCAAAATGCGATTTTGCAGGAATTGTAATCAGGCGCTAAAAATAGGGATGCACCGATACCACTTTTTCCAGTACTCGCCCGATACCGATACTTTTATTTTTGGTACTTGCCGATACCGATGCCGATACCTATATTTTTATTACATTTGTAAATTTTTTAAATATTGGGTACAGAAACCAAAACTCCTCATCCTTCCGTCTCCTTTTCTCTCGCCTCGTCTGTCTGTCCTTACCCCCAGGTACGCCGCGGCCGCCGTGATCAGCTCCGCCAGAGGGGGGAGGGGGGAATAGAGCGCAGTCTCGTGAGTACCCCGCAGCCTGCGAGGGGCGATGGGGGTATGTGACGAGAGGGACGAGAGAGGACCAGGCCTGGACTTTATTTTGTGTTTTGGTTCTGTTTGTGTGCGACAGTCGTCGGCGAGGGGCTGTCGCGCTATTTTGTGTTTATTTTATTATTAAAGTTTTGTTTAAATGTTCGCCGGTTCCCGCCTCCTTCCCGTGACTACAAACTTTGTTACATCCAGTATCTTATTTTTGCGAAAATTATACAGAAAAAGACTGATCCACGGCTTTTAAGAACCTTTAAGTTAACGAATTAATAATAATAATGACACCCCTTGAAAGATGAGTGACAGCCATTCGATTGGACCTTTGAGCATGTTGCATGTTATAGCCTAAGTTAACAGTTCATTTAAATTTATTGCCACATCAGCTTCACAGGCTATTTCATGGCAAAGATTATACATTAAAAATATAATTGAACACAAAATACAAATACAATAAACATAAATTAATAAAAACAATTATAAAACAAAGAATTACACATACATTTCTATAAAATATATTTTAAATTTACTTTTGAAAGAAATTGTAAAAGCTTTTCTGGATCCATCTTATAAAACAAGTTTTGTTATAGCCTAAGTGAACATTAGTCAACTATTTAGTTGTAAGTTCTTTATTTCCTTATGAAACTATAGAATTTTTTTTTTTTTACAGTCAGTTAAATAAAATGTATGACATTTTAGCAACGTTTATCAACATTTAGTAACATTTATCAGCAGGTGGCAGCAGATTATCTTGTTGACCTTTACATTTGCTTACAACAAGCACGAACTGGAGGCTACAGCTCAATGCAAAATTAATTTGGGGTTTAGTTGCATTAACATGTTGTCGTTGTATTAAAGGGGTCATAAGATGCGATTTCAATTTTTCCTTTCTCTTTGGAGTGTTACAAGCTCTTGGTGCATAAAGAAGATCTGTAAAGTTGCAAAGACTAAAGTCTGAAATCCAAAGAGATATTCTTTATCAAATTTAAGAGTCAACCACGCCTACCTAAAACAGCTCGTTCTAACACGCCCCCACATGTCTACGTCACGATGTGGGAAGATTTGCATAACAACGCCCAAATGTTCACGCAAAGAAAGAAGGCGTAACTTTGATTCTCGCTGTAGTATTGTTGCTGCCGCCGTGTCGTGAAAACGCTGTGTGTTTCGTTGTGAACACAAAACTACTTTGTTTGGCATTCCAAAAGAGGACGATATCCACTTCGTCATGTCTAGAGCTGATCCCTGTTGGTCGCTGAGCAAATACATCAACTTCGCGGTGTGGATCGCCGGATCGGCTTTCACCGTGGACAAAGCGGAGTCCAGCCCAGGGTCGTCACATGTGGTTGCCGCAAGCCCGCCGGCCGCTCCTTTGTCGAATCCGCCGGCCGTGCCGTTCTCAAGCCCGCCGGCCGTTCCTCACTCTAGGCCTCCGGACTCCGCTCACTCTAGCCCGCCGTGTGTGACGCTGTGTGTTTCATTGTGCTTTGTTTGGCCTTCCAAAAGAGGACACAACTAGAAATCAGTGGTTAAGTTGTATTTACAACACTGTTCCAGAACACTTCAACTGTGAGAGTAGCCTACAATGCCGGTGTCTGTTTCTATAAAGTGGGGCAATTCCAACTTTGTAAGGACAGTCTGGCGCTTCTGCCTCACAGCCTGTAAGTACGTTTTTTATATTTAAAGAATTTGCCACTGACGATTCACGCTTACATATAATTAGCTGCAGTATGGTAATGCATATTTGGCGTGCTGTCCGGGGAAGGGCTCCGAGCTCGGGAATGGCCTGAAACTAGAGTACCCTCCAAAAAGCAATTGAGCAAAGGACAGCCGCCAGACTGAGAACCCCCCAAAATAAGCACTGAGAACTGGCGGGGGCTGATGTTTTGAGAAGTCGCCTGGTTGGCAAGCCGGAGCCGATGGGGGAGGAGCAGCGTGATTGTATAGCCCTACCAGGAGGACCCGAGTTGCCTCGACTGGAATAGCTCGCGGTGTCGGCATTCGGGCCCTACTGGCTGACAGGCCCCTGCTAATCAGTGGGCAGAGGGCAAAATGGCTGACCGAGAGGGCCCATGAAGCCTCCGACTGGAGATCAAGACTCAGGACGACGGACGTGTGGGTCCTCTCGGTTTGGCAGATAAAAAGAGAGAGATTGAAAATGTAGATAAAATTACCTTTCTTGGCTTGGTCTGTCTTGCTTTGTTTTATTAAGAAGGAAATTGTTTCGCTATCGAGTATGGTTAGGTCTGAGATGGTCGGGTTGATTTTTAGATCGAATTTGGAAGAGATGGTGAGTTCCGAGCATCTAAGAAAGCCGAAAAAAGCTAGAATGAACATGGCGTCGAGTGTGCGGGCTGTACTGAGAGGCTGGTAACCTGTGCGGAGGGTGTGGATACATTTTGTGAGGATGTCTAATGTTATGGGTTGTCTGGAGTCGGGACAGGTGGGCTGGGATCGCTGGATTCCTCTGATCAGGAGGGAGGTTTGTGAATTGCTTATTTCGGGCGAGGGAGCGCTGAACATCAGCTTGTGGAAAAATTGGACGCCACTCAGGTAACCTTTGATGGACCCAACTTGGAGACCCTTAACGCTGTTAAGAAAAGAGATGAATGAGGTGATTGAAAGTAGGGAAAAATCGGGGAACGGTGTGTTGTATGAGCGGTGGAATGCCTTGAAGCATCTCCACGCTGTCACGTATGACTGAAGGGTTCTGGGAGAAACTGCTTGGAGGATAGTGTCGAGCGATGCATCGAGAAGGGGTTTTAATGGGTGGGTTACGGGAATATTAATTCTGAATAATGAGGTACTGGAGTTGGGAATTGGTCCGCCTCTGGAGCCAGTGTCCTGCATTTTTCTGAAACATAAAGCGAGACAGAGAGTCAACAATTTGGTTTTCTGAACCTGGAACGTGTTTAGCGATTATTATGAATTGGTCGCACGCTGCGATCCATGTTAAGCGTCTAAGGAGAGGCGTGAGGGCGGGAGAATGAGAACGGCCTTTATTAATGCACTGAACAGCTGCTTCGTTGTCGCAGTGCACTAAAATACTTTTAGAAGCCCATTCATTCCCCCATAGGAAGGCTGCTACCACGAGGGGGTAGAGCTCGAAAAAAGCTGAGGACTGGGGTGAGCCCTG